TTAAACAAAAATTCTTTTGCCTTTTCTGAATCACTCCATGGTTCTTTACTATTTCTCCCCTATATTTTGGATACTTGACTATAATAAGATTGGGCAAATTGAATTTTGAACACTAATGTTATATTTCTATACATGTTGTCTTACTTTTTGTATTTATAGCTCCAGTGCCTAGCACAGTGCCTGACACTTTTTTGTTTGTTGTTGTTCAGTTGTGCCCAACCCTTTTGACCCCATTTGGGGTTTTCTTGGGAGAGATACTGGAGGAGTTTGCCGTTTCCTTCTCCCGTTCATTTTACAGATGAGGAAACTGAGGCAAACAGGTTTAAATGACTTGCCCAGGGTCACACAGCTAGTAAGTATCTGAAGCCAGATTTGAACTCGGGAAGACTCATCTTCCTGACTCCAGACTCAGTACTGTATCCATTTCACCACCTAGCTGCCTGCCTGACACTTAATAGGTAGTTAGGTAGCTAATAGACGTCTGCTGACTGATTGATCTTCCCAGCAACCCTATGAGGTAAGTGCTACCGTTATTATTCCCATTTTACACATGAGGTAAAAAAAAAAAAAAAAAGGTTAAGGGACTTGTTCAACATCACGTAGCTTATGTCATGAGTGGAATTCAAATTCTAGTTTCTGACTCCACCGAGAGTACTGTAAAATAATCATGTCACCAGTCGCCTTACAGGGTTGTTAGGAGAAAGTACGCCATAAATGTGTTATTACTAGTATCTCTTCTCTTTCTCCATTTTTCTTCCTCTTCCTATATTCCTCTGTCTTATTTCTCCTTCTGCAGAGAATTCCTGTCAGCGTTGAGGTTCTTTGATCTATTGTGACAAATGGTTACTTGCTGGGTTTTCTGCCTCTGCTAGAGTCTCCCAGCGATTAAAGATCACGTGGCTTATTCAGCTTCATGTACTTGACCTTTTCACATGATTGACAGGTCTAAATGGCTAAGGCAACACAGTAATTATGCACTAGCTGGTTTATGTTCATTTCATGAGGGGGAAAAAACCCTACCACAATGACACAGTTCTGTTGGATAGAAGAAAACATGTCCCCCTCCTGCATCAGCTAAATAAAGGAGAATAGAGTCTTTCTATTCGTTAAGATGATGACTTCCCCTTCCCACCTCAGGGTCAGTGCATTGTTTAGGCATTATATAAACATTCAATGTACCCTCACCATGCCCACCTTAGGAATTGTTTACTCTATGGCTACTCTCTTACATAATTAAAATGTTTTGAAGCTGCTGGTTTTGCTCAGCAACCCACTTCCACCCACATTGTTTGAGTAATGAAACCCAAGCTTTTCCAGCAAAGTTTATGGCCACAAAGGCAATATTGCCTTTTAATGACACCTTGGTTTTTCATTACAGAGGAAATGTAAATAGTCCTAAATGAGCATGTTTCTTTATCAAGTATGAAAAGTACCCAGCTAGGTTTTCTAGAGATTTTTTCTAAAATTGAAAATGTTGAAATATTGTTTTGATATGAAGTCTTCTGAATTTTTACAGATTTTGGTGTGAATTCTGCCCCGACTTAAGACCCCCTGGTTGTGACCTTCCTAGCTCCAAAATAAGAGACATAATAAGAGTTTATGTTAGCAGGCACTGGAGTTGGGGTTCTGTGGAGTCCAATCTTTTAAGTGGAGCTTCTGAGGATCCACCAATCAATCAACACATATTTTTAAGCTCCTATTTAATGTGTCAATCATTTGGAATAAGAAGACAAGCATGACATTCCCTCCCCTCAAAGACATTTCATCTTTTGGGGCAAGACAAGTTGTAGATAAAGAGGGATAGAAATGGGACAAGATCTGTGATTTCCTTGATATAGGGAGCTCTCAGATGAGGACACTTCTCTACCAACACAGATCAACACCTTCTCGTCTCAGCCTGCCTAGTGCGCTGAGAAGTTAAATGATTTGCCCGTAGTCACAAGCTAAATGACTTACCCAGGGTCACACAACCAGTGTATGTCAGACACAGGATTTGAACCCAGGTTTTCCTGGTTCTGGTGCCAAGTATTTACCATGCCCATTGCCTCTTAAATTATATTAAAATATTATACCAAATTAAAATTACATTCTATATAATAAAATTATATTAAATTAACTTAAAAGAAAATCATGTGAAATCAATAAAATATAATCGCATACATTCATTAACAAATATAGACAAAATGGAGAAAAGCTAAATTATTTATGGGGAGAGAGCTCTTGCAACTGGGGAGGAAAAAAAACTTTGTTTTGGTATAACTTGAGCAGTTTTGAAAGAAACAAGCTGTTCTAAGAGGTTGGAATGAAGAGATTGCTGCTAGGTGGCCCAGTGGATAGAGCATTGGACCTGGACTCAAAAGACCAACATCCCGGAGCAAGTCATTTCACTTCTGCTTGCCTCAGATTCCTCATCTGTAAAATGGGGATAATAATAACACCTACCCCAACCTTCAAGTTGTTATGAGGCTAAAATAAGGTAATATTTGTAAAGCATTTTGCAAACCTTAAAGTGCTTATTGTATTCTAGATGTTGTTGTTGTTGTTATAGTTGCTTGTCTATTCAGAGGGGCTAATTAGTGCAAGGGTTCAGGGACAGGAGATGGAGTGGAGACACATACTACCATGTGTGCAGTACAGGAAGAAGGGTGGGAAGCAGAGTAATGTACTGTTAGGTTGAAAGTCGGTTGGAGTCAGGTTTTGAAGAACTTTCAATACCAAATTGAGAAGTTTGCATTTGACTTTAGAGAGCTACTGCAGTTTATTGAGTAGGGGAGTAACATCTTCAAACATGCACGTTAGGAAAATTACCTTGGCAGCAGTGTGCAGGATGGATTCTGAGAGAAGAGGGGATCAAGGCTGGGAAACCAAGGAGTCTGAACTGGAGAGACATTGGTGAGAATACTGAGAAGGGGATGGACGTAAACCGTGTTGTAGGGGGACAAAGAACAAATTTTGATAACTGATTGCAAATGCGGGTGTGAAGGGATATGAGGAAGCCAAAACTGCAAACCTGCAAAGATAGCGGTGCTTCAACAAAAATAGGTAGAAGGAAAATTAATAAGAAAGATCCCTTTTTTTTGGTTTGTTTGCATCCTTTTCCTGAATTGTAGAAATAAAAGACTATAATTATTTTCAGAAGATATTTATTCTAGGACTCAATCAGTCTAAAAATCACTTTTGGACACTTTTTTAAAAAGAATGTTTAATACTCATACTTTCCATCTCACTTACAGTTTGATATATTTTCAGGTTGGAACAATTCTAGATTTTTTTTTAATTTAGGCTTCTGGCAGTTATTTACAGGGCAGCTAGATGGTGCAGTGGGTGCAGGTCCAGGCCTGAATTCAGGAAGACTCATCTTCCTGAGTTTAAATCTGGCCTCAGATACTTATTAGCTGTGTGACCCTGGGCAAGTCACTTAACCTTGTTTGCCTCAATTTCCTCATCTGTAAAATGAACTAGAGAAGAAAATAGCAGGCCGCTGTAATATCTTTGCCAAAAAAAAAAATCCCAAATGGAATCAGGAAGAGTCAGACACAACTGAAAAACAACTGAACAAAACAACAATTCTTTACAAATAAACCCAAGTCATATGTATTCTAAGTCCAATATTCTAAATATCCCCCTTCCCGTGCTTCTTCTCTAATAAATATTGAGAAATATTATTGTACTTGCTAGAAGTCACAATAGACAAATGTGTAGTTTTAAGCACTAAAGCTTAAAGCTACAAGAAGACTTTTAGGACATCCTGTATGAAACCTTTTTTTTTCAGTTGTTCACACACGCTTTCTCCTTTTCTACTTATTTTTTACTATCCCCACATATCCAATCAGTTGCCAAACATTGTCAGCTCCATTTCCAAAATGTGTATGTCCACTTCCCATTCTCTAGTCATATACCCTAATTCCAGCCTTCTTCCCCTCTTGCCTGGACTGTTTCCAAAATGTGTATGTCCACTTCCCATTCTCTAGTCATATACCCTAATTCCAGCCTTCTTCGCCTCTTGCCTGGACTGTTGCAATAATAATATCCTAATTAGTCTTCCTGCCTTTCCCAATTCCAATTCATCTTCCATACAGTTAGGATGTCTGTGATTAGATGTCAACTTTTGTTTGTTGTTGTTGAGTTGTGTCTGACTCAGTGACTCCATCTGTTCTTAGCAAAGATACTGAAATGGTTCACCATTTCCTTCTCCAGCTCATTTGACAGATGAGGAAATGGACGCAGACAATGTTAAGTGACTTTCCCAGGGTCACACAGCTAGTAAGTGTCTAAGGCCTAAGAGGGGTTGAGTAAGATTTCCCGTAGAATGTGAGATTTTTAGTTGGGACTTTAATTGCTAGTCTGATAGTAAGAGCTGCATTTACATGGGGTTTTTACCTGCACCCTCCCTGACCTAAGTAAAAGCAATTCCACTGTTATGATAATGATTCTGCCTCCCATCACCCTTTCCTAACCCTACCCCCAAATATTTTCTGACCCCCTCCAAGATACATCTGAGGCAGCATCCAGAAGCTCTGTTATTACACTGACTGTGAAAAGAAGAATGAAAGGTTTTCTCCAATTTCCTTCCCCAAGAATTTTTTTTCTCCTTTTGGTGGATTCTAGAGTTCTTTGTGCATATAACTGATTTGGAAACACTTCACAGAATGAATCTTCACTTTTCAGTTAAATGGTAGGCCAATAGAAGAAGTCTAAATGGTATATTTATAGTAGCATGCCTTGAATGAGATTAAGAAATCATAAGAGTTTTATGCATGAGTTACATAAGAATATTATTGTAAGGATTTTAACTTTGTTTTTCCCTGCCTCTTTTAGGATTTTGTAATATTTTTCACGTGTGATAATGAGATATTTTTAAATGTTTTATTTAGTAAATAGATAATATATAACTAGAGGCCTTCTACATAAGGTATTATTGATAACTCGTACACTGGTGCAATTTTCTGCGTTCTGAACAATCTCAGAATTTCACCTGTGCAATTTTTTTCTTAACACAGGTCACCGTACACTGTTTATTGGAGTCCACGTTCCCCTGGGGGGAAGAAAGAGTCACCGACGTCACAGACATCGTGGACATAAACACAGAAAGAGAGATAGAGAAAGAGATTCAGGATTGGAGGATGGACGGGAGTCTCCTTCTTTTGGTAAGAATCTCTCCCTCTTCCCCACCTTGCCATTTAAAATAATCAAGTCTATAAAAATTCACAGGTTTATGGGACTCAATATTCTGTTGTGTTCTCTGTGTACTTTGTTAAGCAGCAGAGATTGCTTTTTGAGTTTGTAATAATTAAAAAAAAAGATATCTTACCATGTAAAAAGGTTTGAAATGCTCGGGCAGAAAGGGTGTTGGGCAAGAAAGTTTCCATCTTTATGATTGCTGTCTTGGTTATTTTATCTTATGAAAGGGAAGAATTGTTAAGGTATGAGATGGGGAAATCACAATTTGAATACTAACACTAAATCTCTGCTATTCACACAAATAGAAATGATTGCTTTCATTTTTTTTAATTCAAGGAAAATAAGCATTTATTAAATTTTGCTCAGACAGCTGTAGCTGCCCAGTGTTTACTGAGCATGAAAGTCTCTAAAGGTGAAAGTTCTGCTTAATCAAATACACTGCAAAAGAATTTAAAATGTGTTCATGCTGTAGCTTTTGAGAACCCATAGAATGATGGTTACTATGTAGAACACTCAAAAGACTATTCTTTTCTTAGGCTACCATGGACATTTAACAAGTTTTTGATGATTCATTCATTGTGTATTTAGAATTTTTCAAGGCACCAGGAAGGAAATAAAAAGTGTACAACATGATCCCTGAACAATATGCTTAAATCTTATTAGGGAAACAAGAATGTTGCATCTGAAGGAATTTGAGACAAAGACAACAAATTATAAAATGCTAATTTGATTGATCAAGTGACCCAGAAAGAACTTTGGGGTAGGCAGTGAAGGAGAAATACATTTTTCTTTAAAATTTTGTTTCAAATCTAATTTTTGCTTCTGTGTGAAGGGATATCAGGAAAGGAATGGTAATTAGTCAAGTTGGAAAAGAAGGGCCATTGTGTGGTCAGGACAAATACTAGATCACACCTACAGTCTTCCAGCTCTAGGTCTATAATCCTCAATGATTCCTTGAAAAAAAAGATCTTTTTTTTGTTAAATTGCTTTTTTGTGAAACTATATGTTAAAATTGTTTTGAATTAAGATCAAAAGAAAAATAATGTCAGGGAATAAGGATTAAATTTCCAATTATATAGTATTAAAGAAAAATATTAATATAGCCTTAGACAAGAGTTATAAACAGGTCATGATAGGTTACACTTCATTTCATTTGGGAGCAACGTTATTAAGATTTACTATCAAGGTTTACCCCTAGCTTCTTGAAATTGTCTGTGATGTGGGTATTCAGTCATACTCCCTCCATACCATCAACTAAGACTTTCATGTACAATCATCTTTTTTTTCTATTCTACTAAGTTATGGAAATGCTTGTTTTATTCCTTAAGCTCAGAATTTTTTTTTAAATAGCAAACCATTAAAAATATATATTTGCTCATGTAGTGTTAAGGAAGTCAAACTAGTTAACTGGTAGCAGTCAAATAAACATCTAAATCCATTAAATATAACTGATATTGTAATAAATAGAGCTATCCATAAATGGATTAAGCTGTTTCTTGAGGAAAATTTATTTGAGTTAATTTATATGTTCAGGTAGAAACTCTATAATCACTCGTTGAATGTATTGTACAGGAGATGTGTTCGTGAGTAAAGGATTGGACTAGATAATCTCAGTGACTACAATTTTCTGATAGTCTCTGATTCTATTACTCGATGAACCCCAACATCCCTTTTTTCTAGCTCTAAAAGTCTGTGGTCATATGACTTGCTTGGTATCTCGTAGTGAATTAGTGATAGAACTAGGACTAGGACCTTTAGGGCTGCACTTGAGGATCTAGAGGGCCACGTGTGGCCTTAAGGCCACAGGTTCCCCATCCCTGACCTAGGTCCTTTGACTTATTGTTCCTTTATCATCCCTTTACTTTTTTCTCTTTCGATTATTGCATCCCACAAACATTCATTTGGCAGCTAGGTGGCACAGTGGATAGAACACTGGTCTGCGAACCAGGAAGACTCCTCTTTCTACTAGCTATGTGACCATGGTCAAGTCATATAACCCTGTTTACCTCAATTTCCTTATCTGTAAAATGAGCTGGAGAAGGAAATGGCAAACCACTCTATCATCTCTGCCCAAGAAAACCCCAAATGGGGTCGTGGAGAGCTGGACATGACTGAAACAACTAAACAACAACGAACGTTCATCCTTTGAGTTGAGCTAAATATAAATCTCTATAATATAGAGATTTCATTCAATAACATTTAAAAATAAAATAAAGCTATTTCTTAAAGCAACAAAGTACAAAAAAAAATTAGTAAATGTTTTTTGAAAAGCATATCTTTCGAAAGTAAGAATTAAAGAAGTAAGTACACAAGTATTTTAGTATTTTTTTGGTTAGGATGAAGATTTGCAGCTAAAAGGGACCTTAGAGTTCATCTGCATTACTATTTCCCAATTGCTATAATTGTTTTTCTAAATGCAGTCTTTGTCATCATCATCATCATCATTGCTTGCATTTATATAGTACCTACTGTGTACTAGGCACTTTGATAAGCACTTTATAAATATTATCTCATTTGATCCTCACAACAACTCTGGGAGGTAGGTGCTATTATTTATCCCAGTGTTACAATTAAGGAAACTGAGGTAAACAGATATTAAGTGACTTGCCCAGAATCACAGAACTAGTTAATTGTCTCAGGCTGGATTTGAACTCAGGTTTTCCAGAACTCTATCTAAGGCACCACCTAGCTGCCTAATCAGAATACGCTTTTGTAATTGCCCTCACTTCTTTAAAATTAGAAAGTCCCACCCGGACTATATACATGGCTTCGGGACTTCAATCCAGTTCAGTATTAAAAACCACTCAAGTTCTTTATAGTCACAGATATAACTGATTTAGTTTAAGCTAACTTTACTCTGACTTTCCCCACTCCGTAGAGGAGTGCTGCTGTTGAAGTAATTCCATATACTTTTTAGCTTCTTTCTCTTTCAGAACTCTTATTTGTGTCCTAAATCCCTTCTCCTCTAGGATCTTTATTCCAATAGTTACCTCCTGTTTCATACATAATCTATCTCTCTCCACTAGCTCCTTCTCTTTTTCTTAGGTGTCCCTGATTCTTTTTTTTTTTAAGTATACTTAGTGCCCGACTAAGTATGACTTCTGAGAGGTATACTACTTACCATCTCTTGGCTCTCTCCTACTGATCCTTCACAAAACCCTTTGGTATTTCCTCTTCCTAACTCTTCAATGTTGTTCTAAAGGTTCTTTTCTGTGTTCTTTTTTCCTCTCTTTCTCTACTCTCTTTTTTGGAAATTTCTGCATCAAGCAATATTTTGTTTAGAGAAAAGAAAACTACCAGAGCAACAAAGAGATAACTGAAGAGTAGAAATCAGAAATGCCAATAAATTGGAAGTCATGAATAAATTGGTTGATTTAAAGACTATTAATGAGTAACAAAGGAGAACAGAAAGAATACCAGTGACCAAAATAGCAAATGGAAATTCAGAGAGAGAAGGAAAACAGAAAATTGAGTAAAACAAATAAGAGAAAGATAATCAATTTAATGTAGCAGTCATGTGAGATAATAATGAAAATAATATAGTTAGTTCTTCAAAGAAGAAATTCGACAGAATATTAAACTGCAAGGAAAACAGTTAAAAACACTGTAACCTTTATACTGTTAAAACCCTAATGAAACATGAAAAAACTGTAGTTCACTTTTAGTGATGGCACTTTATACAACCTGTATAATGGAAGAGTGTAGAGAGGCACGTCACCATCTAGTAAAAAGGAATATTTTTAGTTCCTTAGGGAAATGCAAATGCCAGTGTAATTTTAGGTTCTGCAGTAGTCATTACAAGACCCTTAATTTTAGACTGAATTTTAAATTAACCACATGGACATTTTGACTTTGCTTGCTGGAGAACAAAATAACTCCAAGCCCTAGTGTTCCTAACAGTGAAATTTATCAGTGATTAGGTACAACAGGGGAAATGAAATTGTAAACAAGCAAGGAAAATTAAGTTGATTTTATACGCACACATATACATACGTACATACACATAAATTGTGGAGATGGAATTATATGCAGGATTTAATATTTGATGGGAGATCTATCCAAAGATATGGAGAATATGATTGAGAAAGCCATAATGATAAATTGTCTTAATTATTACAGGAACATCTCTGTCACAAGTGCCCCAGAAATATCTGATTGATAAGGAGGCATTTAATGCTCTGAAACAGTTGTTATGGTACTCATTTGTGAAACACAGATTCTTATAATCCCTGAAGATTGCTGACATGATGAGTATAGTCCTTAGTTCTGGTTTATGTTCTTTTAAATTCAGTTATCCTTCTGTCTTACTTATCTTATTATTATTTTCTGTAATGTCATAGGATTGGGGTATTAGTTTAGAGCAAGAAAAATGCTTTGATTTCCTTTGAGGAAGGACATGTAATGAAATGTGTCACAATTTCCTTTTTTGATATAATCTTTGAAGTCTTAAATAAGGACCAAAAAGTAAGACACTCTGTATTTTGGGGAAAAAAAATTTATTCTTCTTGTTAAAATCTCCCATTGTCTACCAGCCTCTTGGTGAATATTAATACATATTTATACATAATCATAAATACCACAAAAACCTGAAAATCTATTTAAATAAATACCACTCAGCACAGTGCCTGACACATCAAAATGCTTGATAAATGCTTATTAACTTCTATACTATGTGAGAGAATCCATTCTTTAAAAAAAAAGGAAAGAAAAGAAAGTATCAATATAATTAAAAGTGAAATGTAAAAATTCTACTTTATCTCTGATAAGTCTAAATTTTGATTTACATAAGGATTAATATCAGTTGATTTTAATGGAGCCTCATTCTCATTAGTATGCAATACTAAACTATCACTCAATTGAAGCTAATTTGGTAAACTGGTATTTAAAATCTTGGCCACAGAAAGAGCCAAAAATGAAGCAGCAACAACACCCCAGGGTTGAACAGTATTGCTTCTCAGTGGACACA